ATTGTTACCGTAAGCGAGAGGTGCACTGAGCGACGCACCGTAGACATGCTTTATTTACAATTTTCCGCCCGTAGACAAAATGCTCTGTATCGCATGGCTTTCATGCATGTGATTGTTATGGACATGGTTCGAGCTAAACTTTAGGGGTAAACTCAGCGAGGGCTGTCGTAAATTCCTGGAAGTGACTCACCTCGTCGATACAGGGTATATCATGACTTCCGCTCCTCTCCGTGGTAGCAGTAATCGATGCCTCCCGAGGCGCAATTCTCTCAGCGACAGTAGGTATAATGACCTCGCGCCCTCTAACATCTCTTCTCCATAGAAACGATAATTGATGGCGCCAAGTCCCGTAAAAGCCAAAATGCCTGATCCAGCCTTGAAACGAGCGCATCATCGTCGAGATAGATAAAACTGTGCGTAAGAGACGAATGAGGACCCGTTGTAGGTGCTGAGTTCGATGTACTGACGCGAAAGTGTGCTTGGGTGAGCGACACCTATCTTGCATTGCAACGCACGCATGGAACGTGTTCAGAAAGCGGCCGGCGTGGTCCACACCTTCTAGATTCGACCAGATTTACGAGACATATCATATATCAGCCAATCTTGAGAAGCGATTAGTCACAATGAACTTTGAGCTGGCAGGATTGAAGTTGGGTATTGAAGGGGGGGCGCGTTGTGTTGGAACGGGGGCGAGGGCGCAGTGACGGTGTACGCGCTTCAAAAACCACTACGGCAGGCACCACGTGGAACCGAGGACAAGATATGTTTAGCGAGGAGATTACGAATCTGGGTAGCGAGATTCGTGGTGGTTTAGTGCGAGGGCCGGAACTCATTTCATTTGCACTCGGTGATCGCCGACCTACTTTCCCGTAAGCCACTGTGGCTCATTGTTGACTTTTGCCCTTAACTCGTGCCGACTTGATGGACTACAACAATGGTCTGTTTCTTCTTATAGGCCTTGTCTGTTGAATATTCAAGTATTCATCCCCCAGTGTTTTGTGTCGGCGGTAATCATAACTAACTCGGAGCGAATGCCACCAGGCGCCCGGGACCCGGGTGCGAGGATTTGTCTGATTGAACTTGCTCCAAATTATACCACTGGCCTGGCTGAATACCAGGCTATACTGTCATGATGCATACACGATTTGCCGGCGGGGCGCTAATGCTGCCATGTATCAAATCATGTCTGTTTAAAACACGGCTCCTTCAGGTCCCAACACCGAAGGCGCCCCATCTTCGCCCAGAGTTCCACGTTCCACTCTAAGCTAGGCTTCTGCCAGCACTCTAGGTTCGATTTCCACCCAGGACAATGGCAATATCATATGTTTATGTATACCGGCAGCACACCATCGCAAACATTTGTAGCGTGGAGACCAGAAGACCTGACACATTCCTGGGGTCAAGTTCCTCGGGGGATGTGGTTGTAATGTCGGCTGATGCGAATAAGAATACGCATCTGTCTCATCATCATCCTCGCCCTTGGTAGAGTGGTTCCGGTGCGCTTCTTTGTCGCACATGTTTTCCGCTGACTCGACGTGGCGTGCTGCGCAGAGCCATACTCGGGCAGATTATGTCCCCATTACGAACATGCCCTCTCCTGGTGGCCGCGTGTATCCATGGCCGCCGATGAGAACAATGCTTCTCGACTACTTGCCACGCTTTCCTACATCACACCGCTGCGGCTCCGCGCCTGGCAGACAATGCTTGTTTGACAATTTAATATATTTTGACAGATATGACAAGCCGTAACCGGACAGAGAATTTAGGTATCCAAAAAGTCCCGTTCCACAATTAGGGATTCCTCGTGTTTTTGGGGTCTTATCATAGCCATTCTGTATATTGCTCTGGTCAGCTGTTTCCGCATCCTCTCACTGTCCTGGAAACTATCTTCTCCCGTTCATCGAACTTGAGATAGTACTCAGCGCGTAACGGAGGCGGAAAACACTCCGTGACCGCATTAAGCTTGGTCGTCTGAGTTGAGGCCTTATTTCTTCTGTTAACGCTGGTGACACAGCGGCGGCCAAATTTCTCGCGAACGTAAACCGACGACCATACGCCACAACAGTGGAATTGGCTCGGCCCGCGGATATTCTGTAAGTCGTGCCAAAGAATTCGCGGTGTCACCATGTTGCACCCGTCCGCGGGCATGTCGGTCTCATTCCTCGTGATAATTGGCTTCCGGGATGGCATCGACATGGGTAGTATTTTTGCAAGAGAAGGCGGAGAGGATTTGGATCAGGTTGCGCCACAGCGCATTTTCAGGCCCTGTCAATCAGCCAGGTGGTTACTGTCAAGCACCTTGTTCCCCGTTCTGTAACAGAGCGAGACATACGGCTTTGATAAACGCAGACCTGACTCACCGCGCAGCAGATGCAGCCGGCTTAGTCTCTAGTAGATTTAGCAGATCAAGATATTTGAAGTCTAGGGTCATCTTCCTCCAATATTGCACCGAAGCCTGTCACATTCCAGTCTTCCATCTTTTTCGGAGACTATAGTGTCCTGTCGTCGTCGTCTTGACTGTTCCCACGTTAGATCTCTCGCCAATCTTATCTTCTCCCTCGTCCATTGGCAAAAAAAACCAAAATATGGCGGTCAACGACGGAATGGAAAGACAAATTATGTGGTATCACGATTCATTGTCCAAAGTCAGAAGAGAACAATCTCACGATTGCACCTTAAATTCGAGCGATACGCCAGGGCCACTATTCCTAATCCAGCTCCCTCCATATTCTTGTAGGCCGGTGAGTATATAACGACGCCTCGCTGGAAAGGCTTTCTCATCCCGTATTAGAGTTTTTGAAACGGTAAGTGGACTCCTACGCTGCACAGTGCTGTCAAATGACTCAATCTCTTGCACACCATACGGCGCACTCTCGATCTGTTCAGATGGACAGTGGCCTTCGTCTTACTATACCTGCCGAATTCATAGGCATCATACGCGAAGCCTTCGTTCTCTACGCCCTGGTCTATGGAGGGTTCGACCCTGACGCTCAGCGCCTGGTCGACTCGATGACGAATCCTGAAAATGTTATCTCTGTTAGTCCCAGGACGTCAGTCAACAGGCACCCTGTTGGCCGTGTGGCCTTCCAGGATGCTCCTCCACCTATGCTGCCTGTTGTTCCAGAAGCCACACTCGCTGCGTACGTAATATAAGTGTGGTGCAAGTAATGCAGCTACTCACGTCATTCTTTGGAGCAGTCCGCCAGAGGGAGACCGCGAAGGCGAGATTCGTTGTCGGTGGAACAATTGTCACCATCGATTCGGGTCAAATCAAGTTTCTGATACCGAGCTGGCATTGCACCTGGAAAGTTGGCACCCCGCTTCGAGCTCGGGCAATTGCCAGTGGACAGACTGCAAGCGGAAGAAATCGGTGAAGAACCTGGTCCGTCACATAGCGACGACTCACATTGGGTCTACGGCAGTGTGCTGCAGCTACGAGGGCTGCGAGGAGACGTTTTCTAGACCAGATAGTCTCCTTAGACACATGAGGCAAGTCCATCGCGCTACGTCGTGAAGGTCGGGCGGTATGGATGGCGGTGGGTCTCAGAGTACTACGTGTCGAATTGATTTGATCTAACGGTTGCGTCTTAGAACACAAAACGTCTGGGAAGCAGTGCCAACTTAGACGGCACTATCACTTGAATGTTAACAAAAGCTTAAAAGTGCGCGCGGACACACCTTAAAGGATCGAAAGATGTTATGTTATGTTACGTTACGTTATGTTACGTTATTAGTTGCAGTATTTTGAGACCTATTGATTGATTTTGCCAATTGCCGTCTACGGGAAACACTCAGCGAATGCAGGGGAACAGGACGAGCAGGCTCACCGGCTTGATCTCATCTTCTGAGACTCGTGTACAACAACTACCTCCCCCCACTTCTTGTTTACTTCCAGAACGAGCGATACAAGAATGACCGGTATTACGCGAGTCCAGAGTGCAGAATGATCCATCCAGTAGACGACATGGGCAGTGGCAGCTCAGAAGAGTGACTGGAGTGTCAACAGAGTAGTAATCATTGGCTGGTACGGATATGACAAAGATAGGAATCAAGAGGTCTGCTTATATGTAGCCGGATTGTTGCTGGATAGAGCAGCGGTCTTGCCGGCTCTGGAGATCTGGCATCTCCAACGAGGAGTATTGTTTCAAATGTCACGTCTATAAGCTATTCTTTTTTCGAGTCTTTGAAGTAAGTCGTATTGTCCCAGCTATGCTTCTTTTTTATCCTTCTCGGCAAGAGGGACAGAAGAGGAGCGTGGATGAAAGGATAAGCGATTTGATGCATCGATGGAAAGAATAATTGGATTATAGCTAAATGGGAGGGCTGTTGTGCACACAAGAGGGAGTGCTTGATTCCCACAAATAAAGATTACAGATCAGAGTAAATAAAGTTCGAGTTGGTCAGTCAACAAAGTGTCGCGTCGCGTCGTTGATCTCAGAGAATCACATGATCGCGTTTGATGACCGGCGTGGAACACTAACTTGATGACGAGGACACCGCAGTGGTCGGTGACTTGGATGCATTCGTCTCTCTTTTCTCTTTCGTGCAGGGCAGCGGACATCATACCATGCAGAAAACTTGTAAGTAGTGCCAAAAGACTCATAGTTCGTTCCATAAACACAGGAAGAGATAGCAGAAATACATAATAAACGAAAGCTGAAGGCACTTCACCCACGGGAGATCTGGCTCAAGCACTTTTGAGACCTCTGACAGATGATAGACTACAGTGGAATGCGTATCACGATGGGACACGCGAGACTGCGGGAGGAAAAATTAGTACAGTGTAGTGGGTGCGTCTCTAACGTTCTGATACACATTCCACCAACATGCATAATTATATGGAGCCCATGTTACCAGCGATTGATGTCACTTTCCGGTGCTCTTTATGTATAACGTACGGGCGATTATCGCTTATTCTAGTTGTCTCATTCTTGGATGATATAATACAATACACAGAAAGACTAATGTTTAAATCACACACTACACAACACGACGCATCGTCAAGCAGTCTCCTGTGGGAGCGCAACAAGCTTCACGTTGCTCACTCCCTTGCCCAGCCTTTCGAGGCCATTGGCGATTCCTCCTAACCCGTTCGGCAGTATCTCTACACGATTCGGCTACAAACGACGAAGGAACCGTCATCAGGTTGGTGCATCAAGACGATGAATCAAACGAATACTCACTTTGATCGAGCCCTCTTCTAGGAAGTTGGTGAGCTTACTCATCAAACCGACACCTAGA